TACTTGATTAACATATAATACTGTTCTATGCTAGTTTTCATTTTTTTTATGAGATATTAATTATAAATTCTATTAATTATAAGTTAATTATATTTTATTATATAAATTAATATAATACTAAAATATTATACTTTAAAATTATATTTTAGAATAGTTTTTTAAGTAATTTTTTTCAATTAAATTAATTACTATTATTATTTATATCTTAATTTTTAAAATTTTCAATAGTAATTAATTCATATTATATTATTATAAATTATCTATATAAAGATTATCTATATTTTTATATTATTTTATATATTTTATATATCTTTTCAAAATCAAAAATCATTTGTTTCATTATTGTTTTTCTTTACATTATCATTATCACATGATTTTTGACGTTATAACATTATATATATATATATATACGTACATGTTGTTATTTTGAACATGGCTGCGGTGGATTGTGAATCAAAAGACGACAATGCGACTAATTTATCGGAAACACTGGTATTTTCGAATGAAACAGTTAAAACGATCGAAGAACATGAAACATCAGGAATACCTTTACAATCATCTTGGACATTTTGGTTAGACAAGTAAGAAGATTGATATTTTTAAAATACTAAAAATTGAATCTAAATTAATTTTTTTTTCTTTCATTCTTTCGATAAATATCACGAAATATGCAAGCAATATTTCTTTTTTAATATCATGAAACTATTAACATTATGAAAAATTTTTGTAAAAATTTTCAAAAAAATAAAATAATGTTATTAAATAATATCAATATTGTTTATTTATAACAATATGAATTATCAATATATCATATATCAATATAATAATCAATATAAAATTTTTGATAAAATTAATAATTGAAAACTGTTATTTTCTAATTATTCTATAAATTGTATCTTATATTGTTCTTTTAAAAACTATTTTAGAGTATTTTAAATATTTAATAATGTAAAAATGTAATTTTCTTTATGCTTCTAGTTAATCATATTGTAATAATAATTTAGACATTGAGATGTCTAATTATGTTTTTTGAAATTCTTAAATAAGAAAATTATTATTTTTAATTATATAATATGTATATGTGTACTCATAAAATATAATCTTGCTTAAATATTATATTTTTATTTTATTTAATATATACTTTAAAATAATATTTTTTGTCTTTTTGTTGTTTTATAAAAACAAATTTGATGAAATGTAATCCTGAAAAAATTGAATCATTCTTTGCATAGTGTATATAGAAAGTTCTAAAGAGTTGGTAAAATTGACAGAGCTATTTCTGGCACAACTGTTGAAGAATATAAAGAAAATTTAACGAAGATTTATACTGTGAATACTGTACAAAGTTTTTGGGCTGTTTTCAACAATATACCAAATGTTAGTGCTGTACAAGTAAGTATTTTTTAATATATTTTTTTATCATTAACATAAATATACGAACATATATAAATTATTTCTATGTCAGGTCAGATATAGTTATCATTTAATGAGAGACGAAAGATATCCATTATGGGAAGAACCTGTCAATCAAAATGGTGGAACATGGAGACTAAAATGCCATAAATCTGATACTGTAAATATAAAATTTTTTTATTATAAAATTTCTTATTATATATAATATTTTTTATATTATATATACTAATGATTTAAAAAAAAAAATGCAAACTTATGATGTAGGAAAAAATATGGAAAGAAATGGTACTTGCAGCTATTGGAGAACAATTTGCAGAATGTGTTGCAGAAGGGGATGAAGTTTGTGGAATAACTGTATCTATTAGAGATAGAGAAGATCTTGTTCAAGTAATAAAATATTAAATTAAAAAAAATATTATTAATTGATATAGACTATATAAATTATATTACAAAACTTTCTTTCATTTCTTTTTATTTTTTCTTTTTAGATATGGAATACAAATGCTACCTTAGCATCAAAAGCTACAATTTTAAATAAAATCCATTCTCTCTTACCTAATGTAAACTTTTCTGAATTTTATAAACGTAAGTTTATTAGAATTATTTTCATGTATCTTTGTTCTTTATTTTAAATATATTTTATTTTAAATATATTTTCATTTTAGCTCATCAATCACATCATGCTTATGGACGCCGTTAAAAAAAAATTAATATTATTAAAATATTATTTGATAAATATGAATTTATAAATAAAAATTTAATTCTAATAAAAATGAAGATCTATATAATTGTGTAAGAAAATTTCTGTACATTTATACATGTAAAAGAATAGTATACATTTTTAATTTGTTGATATTTAATCATTTATTAATATTAACTACATATGTTAATCTTTTAAAAATATAAAAGAATATAAAAATATAAAGTTCATTAAAATTGTAATTTTAAAATGTCAAATATATTTTTATATTTACTTTAATTATACTATATATGTATAATTTAAATTGTATTATTTCATTCCAAAAAATTTCCATTGATAATTTTTCCATTGTCAATTTTATTAGAGATTTCTATTTTATTTTTTATATTATTAGATAAGATATTGGAATGCTAATAGAATTGTAAAATAGTTATATTAATAAATTTCTTTAGATGCATGACATATGATATTTGTTAGCACTTGTTGATCATTTATAATTTATTTGATTCGTATTCGAAAATTAGTGACATACGTACTTATTTGATTTCCTTTAAATGTATCATAATAAATATTAATATAATAATATTATTAATATTAATAACATAATATAATTAATATTAATCAAAAAATAATGCGAAAAATAGAAAGAATCATATATATAACATTACAATTGAGAAAGTATATAATATTAATTTTAATATTTTAGTATATGATGAAAAAAAAGCGACATGAAATTTCATATACATTGGAAAATAGATATTTGAATCTCTTATACATTTAAAATCGAATCATTATTCAACTAACGGTGTTATTTTAATTTTTTATGGCTTGTCAATATTTCTATATTAACGTCAATGAATGAATATTTTGAAAATTAAAAAATTCTTTTCATTTTTGAAAATTATTAAACTAATTTTAAATTGTATTTAAATTATTTATTATGTTTTATATGAAGATATTTATCAATTTAAATCATTTACATGTAGATATTTACCATCAATCAATTATATGCTTTTGTATTTTATATTCTCTTTTCATATTTTTTATTTCATATATTAGTAGAATTATAATTATTTCTTATTAATATATTTAATATAATTTTTAAATATATTTATATAATTTACAATTTTTAAATACAATATTAATAAAAATTAGAGAATAAGTTTCTAAAAATAGTAATATGGTATATATGGTAATAAAATATATTATAGTAACATAAAATATATATATTATATATAATAATAATAATAATCATAATAATCTAATAATAATTTTAATTTAATTTATGCACAATTTCGCGAATATACTTAAGCATACACAATATATGTATATGTAAAAATCTTAAAAAATAAAAAATAATAAAAATAAAAATCATTGAACTTATTTTATTTATATAAAAAAAATTGTTTACAATTTATAAATTTATATAAATTTTTTTTATTTTGTATATTGTATTTAATGTTTTAAAATGAAAATATAAAAAGATATATAATGTTTTTATTCAACATTTTTTATTCAAATAGAATACTGTTGGTCCTTAAAATCTCAGATTTTAACGAATACATGGAATTTCCTAAATTCAGATAAGATTTGCGTAGGTAGATTTGTACACGTGATCAGATGTACTGTTACGTGTCTTTGGAATTCGAAGTTTAACATGAAATTTATTACATTTATATGTAAAACTTGATAGAATAATTTGATACTTAATCTTGTTCTATAATTAATACGACAATAAAAAAAATCGATTGAATCTTCTTGATAAAAATAAATGGAATGGAAAAATTTGTTTCATATAAAATTTTCAATTCATACTTAATTTTTTAATATTTAATAATTTAATATTTAATACAGTTCACATTTTGTTAAAGATATTTATGTAATCAAAATTATTATCCTAAAGAATATATTTATATATTAATTTACTATAGTATTATTTTAATATTAAAGTTAATATTTTATTTTAATTAACCAATGAAAAATAATTATTTATAAAATGGAAAAAAATAACTAATTTCTAATTAATTTAGAAACAATTAAATTGATATTACTTGATTCAGTAAATTATTGCATACTAAAGCACAAGATATTTTATATTATATATATATTTAAATATATACTTATGTAAAAAAGATTAAATTAATCATAAATAAAAAATTAATAATCCAATAAAATTTAGAGAAATTTAATTTTTCTTATATAAAATAAAGATAGATAAATTATTTCTGCATATAAAATAATTTTATTTCACAATAATTTAATATAAATATCTGCAACAATAATTAACTCAGAAATCAAAGAAGAAATCCTTATTAATTGTATTCTAATGATGAATTTGCAGATAGATTTTTAATATACTAGTACATTGATGAATGATAAATTCAATTTACTCTTTTAAATTTTCACAACGCACTATATCAAAAAGATATATATATATATACATAAAAAACATCAATTCTTAAATATTTTTAATTATATTGCGATATTCATTAATCAATCCTAATATTGTTTCAGAAGTAGTAGTTCTGCATTCCTTAGTGGCGCCACATTCTCACATTACCAAAAAATTCACGCATAATTATTTCGCATACCACACCGTTACTAACAACAAATCGTAACTCATTTAATGCTTTGTGACATTATTTTCCCCATACTGTGCCATTAAATCATTGCATTTTTTTTCATATAAATTAATATAGTTTTTATATATTCATAAAAATATACAAATATTTTCATGGCGCCACATTATTAACCTATCATGATATATTAATATTTATTCTTTTTTTTATTCAATATATAAGAAAAATCATATTTTAAACCACAAAAGTATATGATATATTGATCAATTTATTTTGATTATAATTTTTCTAATATATTAATTGATTTATTTTGATCAATCATAATTCTATTGAATATTATAGTAATTCGTTAAATTTCTTAAAAATCATTTAATAATTTTACAGTTATTAGTAATATAATTTTATAGATTATTTTAGTATTATGATAATATTATGATAGTTTATATTTAAAAATTAAATATAATTTTTTACTTTTTGACTTTGATATTATTTACAAATTATTTTATTCCATATTAACATTTGAAACTGATATCACTACAAGTCATTAGAAAAATGCTAAATATCTAGTAACTATTATATCAATCAGAACGAATTTTATATTTTGCAATCTTAAATGATGGTCCAATCATTGCAATGAAAAGTAGAAATGATTTTTAATCTTTTTTAATATACAACTTTTTGTTGTATATTTTGATGCGATTAGCATGAAATGATACTTTTATACATCAATTTATTTATTTTTTATAAAATCATTTATAAAAATAAATTAAATAATTTTATTTAAAGAAAATAAATTGCCCAAATATATACTACTTATAGTTTCATAATATATGTACATTACATATGTACATTATATATACATACATAATTACAGAATATTATAAAAAAAATTTGTATAATATATACAATTTATATAAACAAAAGTATAAAAATTTTTCATATATTTATATATGTAACATATACATTACATATTTATATATGTAAATGTTATATTCCATTTTTATTCTAACAAATTATGTTTTACGTTATATTCTTTAATAAAAAATTACATTCTTTAATATGCATAAAAGTGAGTAAAAGGAAATTCTAATTTAAAATTTAAAATTCATAGTACTGAATGATTTGAGAACCTCTGACGTAGATTTATTCTTGTAGAATCCGAATGACATAATAGTTGGATGACTGCATGCTGACTGCTGACTGTTAAATGTGCAACAAGCTTACGAGATAATCAAGATTACTCAAACGCTGCTTGTAGTACAGACACACGTTCGCATTGCCAACATTTATTATTGCACAAATAATGCAAGGTTCTTTACTTTAAATCATATATTTATACTATTATAAATTTATATGAAAAAAAACTTACAATATTTCTTCAGTTAACAAAAAAATGTTATCATCAATATTTGACATGCTTTTAATTTTGAGGTTATCAGTTCTGTTCTTCAAATTATTCATCATTTTAAAAAATCTTATAGAAATTATTTTGAAAAATTATAATTTAAATTATATATATTTCATATATTTTTTCTATGAAGATTTTTTAACAAAATTTATTAATATTGTCAAAAAAATATAGTAGATTGTTAGTTTATCTTAATATTTATTTTATATTTTATATATTATCAATCGTAAATAGAAAATGAATTTGCTCTTTCAAATAATATTATTAGATTTCGGAATTAGATTATAAAAAATCATCGATATCTTTTTTATGGCATAAATGAAAAATCACTTTATTTGAATTACACATTTCATTTTCTTTTATGTTGAAATTTTTTTGTTGAAATATTTTTCCAAAAAAATTAATTTACAATTCGATCATTGATCTACGTCATATAGATCTCATATAGAATAGTTATATATTTTTATTTTCCAATAATTATATATTTTTTTTATAGGAAAATAAATTTGATTAAAAAATATGATAATCATAATGAAACAAATTTTTTAAAGTAAATATTTTAAAAATATATTATGCAAATATATAAAAATATATTTTTAGAATTTTAAAATTTTTTTTAATTTATTTTTATATTATTTTTTAGTAATGTTTATATTTTTAATGTTTTTATTATTTTAATTTTTTATAGTATAATAATCGTATATTTTTTAAAAAAAATTTTGAAATCTAAAATTAAATCAAAATTCTAGCATAACCAAAAAATCGGATAAGCAAATTGTTTTCATTTAATTTTTTTCACCAAAAATTTTTTTATTATAATTATACAAACTATTATTCTATTATATATATGTATTATATATTATGTCTCTTATGCAATGTAACTTATTAAATATATAAAATATTTCAAATACATCAAAGATATGAAATTAAATGAAGAAATTAATATAGTTGTTTCTTTTTCATTTTACTATATCAAAATTTTTATTACATTTAAAATTTTAATAAAAATTCTGAAAATTTTATTATATGATTAATAAAATATAAGAAATAATAATTTTTTTATTAAATGAAAATTTTTTGTTAATTATTATCCAATTAATTGGATAATATCCTATAAGCATTAAAGAATAAACAATGAATTCTATTCCTAAAAGTAGGAATGGGGAACTTGTTGCTTTATAGACGTCACTGGCATACAGAACATATAACACAGATTGAAGAAAAGTCAGTAGTCAGTTTGTAAAGATCATTCAATATAATTCGATTATTTTGTCTTGTGTGTTTATTTGAATCCATGTGTATTTTGTTCTGTATTATTCCCGTTAATAATTGATTCATTAATAAATATTTTTAATTTTAAAATTTATTTCATCCTTAAAATTATATTCAAATTATAAAAAGTGTTTTTGTAAAGGTTTTTTTTTCTATGAATTTCTCATCAGTAATATTAGTATAATAAATTAAATTTGCTAGATTAATAATACGTGTTGAAAGTGAATTCATACAAAATATTGAAATAAAGTGAAACGAGACAAACATGAAGAATTTGAGAACTGCTATGCTATTCGTCGTTGTCCTCATATTGGGACGCCATGCCTTGAGTGCCACTGCTTCTGCAATTCCTATGTGGGAATTCCTCTCGAAGGGTGAGAAAGTAAGTATTGTTTTATCATAATTAAATTTATAGTGCGTACATTTTTTTCTGAAATTTCTTTTTGTTAAATTTTTAGATATTATATTTAAATTTTATATTATATCGACTTATTATTTATTTTTATTTAAAATAATTAATACAATCATTTGTCTTTTTTTAAAAAAATACATATAACTAAATATTTTGCTTTAAAACAATTAGAATAATTTATATACAATATCAGTAAAAACAGATTAAATACAATCGATTATATGAAAATTAAGCATATTGAAAATTTTTTTTATACATTTATATAATTTATTTGAATATAATTATATAAGTGTTCTTTAATAATTGACTTTTGTGCCTTTTTTTATAGAAACAATTTTGAGAAATAATTTTGATGATCAATGGTTTTGTTATTGTATATGTGATTTAAATTTTTTGCTTAATTCTAGCAATAAAAAATTTTGAAAAATTTTTTTCAATATTATAAATATAAATATAAATAGAAATTTTTTATTAATTTTATGACACAATAAAATTATTAAGTATTTAGAAAATAAAAAAATAATTATATATGATTGAATAGTCATTTATTTATTTTAAATAATCTTAAAATTAACATGTTTTAAAAATAATATTTGAAAAAATAAAATAAAAATAAAAATTTTTTACATATTATTTTAAATAAAAAATATTATATTTATTAATTATAAATATTATATTATATTTATTAAAAAAAATAATCA